GTGTGGGTGGGTGTGTATGTGTGTGTGTGTGTGTGTGTGTGTGTGTGTGTGTGTGTGAGAGAGAGAGAGAGAAAGAGAAAGATGCAGCATGTAAGTGGCGGGGAGCACAAGGGCGGGCGCTGACCTCCAAAAACAAAAAAAAAAGTAATTTTATTGGAATACACGAGTTTTCTCTTTTCAAAATTCGAATAAACGCCGCATTTTGGCTGTAGTGGTGAAACCACTAGTACCTTTCCCATGTAGCAGCCCCGGGCCCCTTGCCGCAGCTTCTAGAGGCCGCGTTTGTGTGTGTGATATATATATATATATATAGAGAGAGAGAGAGAGAGAGAGATGCAGCATGCAGGATGTCAGTGGCGGGGAGCACAAGGGCAGGCGCTGACCTCCAACAAAAAAAATAAGTAATTTTATCGGAATACAAGAGTTTTTTCTTTTCGAAATCCGAATAGAAAGGGTACAGTACATGTTGTATTCGAATACAACGTGTAGGAGCTGCACCGTTTCAATTTCGAAAAAGGACTACCCGCACCGTTTCAATTTCGAAAAAGGACTACCCGCACCGTTTCAATTTCGAAAAAGGACTGTGGCCTCCTCGGCCTCCTACTCGCAGCTACGGGTCCCGGACCGTGCAGCTATCGGTCCTACGTGGTCCTGGCCCTTGCAAGGCCACAAAACCAAAAAATGACCACCCTCCCGACGACCACGACATTGGAATTTGACGTTGAACGTTGATTGTCTCAGGGGGAAAAAACCCTCATCCCTGACGGGATGCGAACACAAATTTTGGAAGAGGCAGATCTAGTCGGGCGCTGCGCCCGGCCCAACCGAGCATGTCCACTCGGTTGGGGTCCGTTCAAAGTGGCGCGTTTACATGGTGCCTGGCTAGGCGGCGGGAGCGACTTGAGCGCGGCGGAGGGAGAAGCATCAGAGCGAGTTGGTATGGCAGGCGGTGATGATGGCAAGACGTGGTGGGTGTTTTACAGGACTGTCGGGCTAGTGGTGGGAGTGGTTGGAGCGCTCGCGCTGATTGTTTGTGTGGGTCATCTTCTATCCTCTGTATGAACTTTGAAGTCGACTGCTCGGCTCAGTGCCCGTGGGAAAAGTGTTTCAAGGGGCCATGCGACAAATTGGGGTTGATCTAACTCAAGTGATTCCCTCAGATTGGGTTGATGAATTTATGTGTTTTTCGACAGGTGCACAGAGTTGTGCGTCCCTGATACTCTCGAGACTACCTGTGAGCGGCTATTGGCGGGCTCAATAGCTTGGTCTCACAACGCGGCACGATTTCCTGGAGAAGGTGAGTTTTGTTGCGGTCCGATGATCTTCATCGTTCGACCTTTCGTACAAATGGTGAAGTTTAGCCATGAGAGGTCGAGTTGCGAGGAACCGATGAAGGGGAGTCGATGAAGGGGGAGGTGAGGTTTTGAGGGGGAAGGGGTGTGCTAGATGGGGCATCATGTTGGAAGGGCACTGGGAGGGTTTGCCTGGCTGGAAGTCTTATGATCTTTATTTTTCTTGATCTCCTAACGTAAGTTGTCTTGGTTCATATTTTTTTATAGATATGAGCTTAACTATGATCAGGTACCTGATTGGATTTACCATATTCGTTATTTTAATTTGGGTGTTTTTCAACTTTTTCTACTTTTAATTATAAGTTCATTTTGAAAACTCGCACGTTCTGGCCATAGGTCTTTTCCGCAGAGGCGATCTTAATCACGAGCAGGATTATCTCTTTCATTTGTTATATTCCTGAGTCCCATTTTTGACACTTTAACTGAAAATTCTGAAAGTCTGGTTCTAAATTTCAAATTTTCAATATAAGAAATTGGTTTCTATTAGGTTTTCTATAATTTATTTTATAATTCCTTCTTCGGATTTTTACGTCCTCAACTTGACTCTTATTCTTGATTCGAAAAATAGGGATTTTTTTTTTTTTTTGCGCAACGTGCATCTGAGTCTATTGATTTTTCTGAAAAAAACTTCACTAGCTTTGTGTTGGTGGCAGTCGGTTGTTTTGGCGTTGATGGTCGAAGATAACGCGCTCTGCGACAAAGGGGCTAGCCTGCAGGGTGAAAATAGGGTACAATGGCGGAGGAGATAGTGGCTCGACCGCGGTAAGTCTTGTCGAAGTAGGGTTGAGAATGAATTTTTCTGGTCGTCTGCAGCCAGTGCCTGGAGGAGCTGGATAACGGGAACCACAACTATGGCGAGG